GGGGCGAGCAAGCAGGATGCTGTGTCCAACTCCATTTTTAAAAGGAGGCGGTGGGGGGGGGAGAAAAGGGGAGAAGACGCGGAGGGTCCCAAACTAACCAATTTATGGCCTCGCCTGGGAGAAGCCTGGGGAATGCTGATGCCGGCTCTAGCGTCTGCTGTGCATGCTAAACACCCGGCTTCAAATGAGAGAGCGGCGTCCTGGGCTGGGCAGTAGGCGAACAAAGAGAAAAGCAGCAAGCAGCGAGGCCGGCCGCATTCATGAATTAGGAACCCTGAGCGGGAAAGCTACCCGGGACAGGCGCCGGCCCTGGGAACCCTGAGTCTGAGCCACCCAACTCCTGCCGTACGTCCCCTCCCCCTCCTGCCCATGCCACTCTCCCAAAACCTACCCAGCCCTTGAACCCAGGGCCAAGAGATGGCAGGCTGCGGGGAGGGCTAGGGAAATGAAGGCAGAGGAAAAAGAGCAAAAATCAAGGGATGTGGTTTTTAAAGACGTGGTTTGCGTAGCCAGCCACTGGTTTCATGATCCTATTCAGCCTGTTGACACCAAGGGGATTCAAGTAGGGTTTAAAAGAAAAAAAGGTAGAAATGGGGGGCGGGGAGGGGAGAAAGAAATGATGTTACCTAACTTTAAGAAGCCATTATTTGTGAGGAGGGGGATAAGGGAAAAGAGGAAGGCCCCATTAAAATGAAATGGATATCTATAGCAGCCTCGTCTTCTTCAGGTTAAAAAACTGTTATTCCTTAACTGCAATGGCGGTTCATTGACTAGCCCCCACCCCACCCACCTTCAAAGCCCCCAGGCCTGATTGGGGGGACAGAGAGGGGGAGTGCTTAGAATGCAAAGGAGAGCTGGGACCGGACATCTGTCACCAAAGCCAGGGAGATATTGACAGAGGCGGGTCCTTTGTGTCTTAAGAATATATATCCACATCCCCGTACGCACACGATGCCCTGGTGGAGTGGCCTGGCCTCTGCCAAGCCGACCGCCCCACCCCCTTCCCCCCAGCCCCACCAAAGGTCCAGGGGCTGCCCCTGGGAAAGACGGCCTGCCTCCCACAACCCCTACAGGTACCCAGCTTTTCAATGAAACTCCAACAGTTAACAAGAGACAAAACAGCTACTCATCAGGAACAAATGTCAAATTAGGCGTTGCCTTCGAGTGATAGTGATGCTGCCACCACCAGCGCTGGGAAGTTTTTCTTTTTCTTTTTTTTTTTTCTAAAGATGCTGGCACACAGGGGAGGAGCTGGAGCTAGAGGCAGGCTGCCTAGAAAAGGTGGGGAGGCATGAACATAACTTCCCACGTGTCCTGCCTACCAGGAGCCGGGCACGCAACCCCTAAAAACCGGAACCAGCCTGGAGTTTGAGGCTGAGACCTCTGAGCAACCAGCCAGAGGGGCGTGGTGACTCTGCCATAATCCTCAAAGCGCTGCCCCCTAAGTTCCTTGCACCCAGTGGCACCAGAATCTACCTGGCAGCACCTCAGGGGAGCTGGGGGGGAGGCGCAGACTCATAGAGCCCTTGGTGTGTATCAGAGGAAGGGTATCCAGGTCTGAGCTGGGCACTAAAAGAAGGCCCTGTGGTCTCCTAATTCCAAAGGACTCACTCCTTCCATGGGGCCTGCCAGGGGGGCGGGGCGGGTCTCTGGGAGGTGAGAAGGGGACCAGAAAGAGGGGGGAGGGCATATACCTTCTTTGCTGCTGGGGTTCTGGGGTTTGGCCTTCTCCCAGGGCGCCAGCGTTTTGTCGTCCTCGGCACCGTCCACCAGGGTCTTGTCTGCGGGCATGTACCAGGTGGCGCTGTGCTCTGCCATCAGGGAGTCCAGGTCGATGGTGCTCATGGCGCTCTTGACAGCCTCAGAGCAGCAGCTGCCCAGCTCACTGTCCCCGTTCTGGGCGCCCGACGCCCCCACAGCACACTCGCCCTTCTTGCCCCCCTTGAGCCCCAGGGGCTGGTCCTCGGAGATGCTGAACTGCTGCCTCTGCAGCTGGATCTGTGCCTGGAGGATCTCCAGGGGGTGGATCTCGTCGGGCGGCGGTGCCCCGCTGCTGCTCGTCGGGGTCCGGACCTGCTCCAGGCCAGGCGTGCCCGGGTGGCCAGCGCCCCCACCGCTGCCATAGCTGTCAGGGGTCGAGGTAGAGGTAGACATGATGCCTAGGCCGAGCGGGGGCGGGGGCGCCTTGGGTCCGTGTTCCCCTGCGCCCACCCCCCGGGGCGGGAGTTTGGGCGAACCTGTCACCAGGGGGCTCCTACTCGCTTTGGCCAGGGCCTGGGGGTTGTCAGAGCTGGATGACACTTCGTCCTCGTTGGCGTAGCTGGTGCTCACCTCGTCGGAGGCGAACTCGCCCACGTGCGGGGAGCTCCCGTCTGACTTGGCGCCGCCATCCAGGGACGCCATGAGGTCCGGCTGGTCCCCCAGGAGCAATTCGGCCCCTTTCCCCCAAGAGGGCCAGGTGAGCACTT